TGGGCTTAATTGTAGGCCCGTTATCTAAAAAGTGGACCATAACAAAGTCCTAAGCCCAATGTATAGGTACCAAAAAAATCAATTTTTTCATGATTAATGTAGTAATAAAGTTGCTACTTCTATCTATTTATCAAAAAATAAAAATATATATCTATTTCTAACAAGCGACAATCAATAGTTTTAATGTGTGAGATTTAGGGTAAGTTATGGATACCCTCGTAGGAAGAGTAAATAACTTATAAATGTATCTCTATTCCCTAATTACAACTACCCCTAAAATTAACATTTTTTTTTAAAATTTAATGGAATGAATGAATTGTCTAAATTACGCCCTTTTATTAAACATATAAACTATGAGTAAACTGCAGGTATCCTGAGGTAAGAAAGAATACTACAGTTACCCTCCTTTGGTATATTACTTTACTCATTGGGGGTAGATTTGGAAATTTAGAACAAATATTCCATGGAAATCTCAAGATTCCGTATCTCATAATTCTGTAAGGGTGTAATTGTAAAACGGAAAAATAGTTCAAGGGCTGGGATTTTTATAATTAACAATACCACAAGGGTCTGTAATTTATTTAGTCTTACCTCAAGTGGTGCCCGTAATTTATCCTTATATCCAAGGTGATGATGCTGGAGATAGATCACCTTAGATAGTTGAAGTAGGATGAGCTGGAAGAGCAGAGTGGATCACTGGCTCATGAGCTTGATGACCTTAAGATACCTGCGATCATAGAACATGAGAACTAGGCCGGGGGTTGATCCGGCGGAAACCCATCGTTAGAAACCGTGTGCCGGCGAATAGTGGAAATAGTCCAGAGAATATACATTTTGTAGTATTATTCACATAATAAGACGTACCTTAAGGAATGAGTTCAAACATTTATTTATAGCTTAGTTGAGTTTGTCGGGCCCAAACCTTATTTGAAGGTGATTGGGCCTCGATGATAGTGGTTTTCAATATTGGGCTCGTGGCCCAGTAGGTAAATAAATTGTAAGCCCATTGGGTGGGCCCAATCTGACATAGCATTAGACTCAAACCTTAGTTGAAAGTGATTGGGCATCGATGATAGTGGTTTTCATTATTGGGCTTGTGGCCCAATAGGTAAATAAATTATAAGCCCGTTGAGTAGGCCCAATTAGACATATCATATGGATAATTTCATAGTGCACAATTAGCTAGGTTTACAACTACCATATCGTTGGAGATAAAAATAATTGATGGCTCATAAAATTCCATATTTAAATAAATAAATAAAAATAAAAAGAGAATTGTTTGAGAAAGAGATGTAACATTTGTTGAGGTTATTACAAGATTCTAACACTAAAGAAAAATGTGTAGCACAAGAAGACAAACATGCATAACACAACATGACAACCTTGTATTAAAAACTTAAGATGCTTTTTGAGACATTCAAGATAATGAATTTGACAATTGAGCCATAAGATGCAATGGTTCTTAATTAATTTGATGGGAACTATATACTATATATTAATATATTATCCAATGGTTCATAAGTCGCATAATTATTTTTTTCGTCTCCTGAAACGCATTTTGGTCCAGTGATAGAGTATTAATTGTTCAAATATGGGAACGATATTAATTTCATGTTCATTACTAGAAAATAAATTCGACAATCTGCCGAAAATTTCTCATAAATCACACCTAAGCTAACTATATACGACAAGTTCAACCTAGGGACCGATGACAAAATCGAACAAGTCTCAAATAAAAATCTCGTCTCAAATAAAAATCTCTATCATAAGTCTTGTAATCAAACGTCACTTTCAACTTCACATTTTTTTTAAATTTCTATTGAAATTAAATTTATCAAATATAATAAATGCTCTATTTTCATTTTATTTTTATTGTTTTTTATTGGCATTTAATTAAAATACTTATAAATGATATTATAATTTATTTTTTAGAATTAAATGATAGTATATTTATTACGGCAAAAAAGAATATATTTTCTATGTGGGACCCACAATCAGTGCCCCCACGCCCTCCTCTTTCCCTACCAATTTGACAAAGAGCCATTTTTCTCTATTGTCTTTTTGATCAAAAACCAAAACAAAAAGATTGCGCCTTTTGCTTGTAAATTAGGGTTGTTGATTCTAGGGATTTTTTTTTTTTTTTAATATTCCAATTCTTTTTTTTTTTTTTTCTTTTTTGCCCCTTTTCTGCAAAGCACGAGTCTTCTCCAATGTCAACTCAGAATTCCGATTCCGATCATTTCTTCTTCATTGGGTTATTCTAACTTGTTGCAGTTTCCTTCCTCGCAAAAAAGAAAAAAAAAGAAAAATTAAATAAAAATCCCTTCTTTTTCGTTTTTAGTATTCGATTCCCAGAAAAACTGCCTTCTTCGTGGGGGGTTTTGTTTTTTTTTCTTTTTTTCTATATGGGAGAAAAATCAATTCGGTAAAATTTCCGTTCAGAGAAGTCTGACAATGTTGGATTTAGATAATCCGTTCCCTTCATTTCCGCCATTTTCCGCAAGAATCGCGTTACTTTCTGGGCTCAGTTCTTCCCCAAATGCCTAAATTTCTCTCGGGCATTTTGCCGAACAATTGGTGTTCAAGGGCCAATTTCTTCCCCAAGTTCTTGAACATCCGTTGGAAAATGGGCTGCGTTCAGGCCAAGTGCTGCAAAAGATACCCCCCATCTTCCGACGACGAATCCGTCATATACCCCGGCCAAAACACCCGTATTCTCGCCAATACCCCTTCCCTAGAAATCGTCGACATCCCTTCGAACAATCTCCGGTTATCCTATTCCGTCCTTTCGCAACGAGGTTATTACCCAGAAACCCCTGATAAAGAAAATCAAGACAGCTGCTGTGTCAGAACAAACATCCAGGGCAACCCGAATGTCCATTTCTTCGGTGTGTTCGATGGGCACGGTTTGTCCGGTACGCAATGCTCGAATTTCGTCAAGGATAAGCTAGTCGAGAAGCTGTCGAATGATTCTTCGTTGCTGGAAGATCCCATTAAGGCTTACAGCACTGCGTTTCTATCGACAAACGAGGAACTCCACACCGAAAACCTAATAGACGATTCCATGAGCGGCACCACGGCTATAACAGCCCTAGTAATCGGTGATAAGCTCTATGTGGCAAATGTGGGTGATTCGAGAGCAGTTCTAGCTGTTAAGGAAGGTGATAAGCTGGTCGCTCAGGATTTGTCGTACGATCAAACCCCGTTCAGAAAAGACGAGTGCGAAAGGGTGAAGCTTTGTGGGGCCAGGGTTTTGAGTGTTGATCAAGTTGAAGGGATAAAAGATCCAAGAATTCAGTCGTGGGGTGATGAGGAATCCGAGGGGAGCGATCCTCCGAGATTGTGGGTGCAAAACGGGATGTACCCTGGAACTGCGTTTACACGAAGTGTTGGTGATAGTACAGCGGAGAAGATCGGTGTGGTGGCTGATCCGGAAGTTTCGACGGTGCAGATTGCGCCGAATCATCCTTTCTTTGTTGTTGCGAGTGATGGGGTTTTCGAGTTTCTGTCCAGCCAGACAGTCGTCGACATGGTATATTTTACGATTTATGCGACTGTTATCTTTACTTTTTTTTTTCTTGTTGATTTTTGCAGCCTGAAATTGAAGTTTATTGATTGCAGCTTGTCCCTTTTACCTTCGTTAGTCGATATTTATCACTGACTTTTAGGAATAATTCGATCTAGTCACCATAATAAGCACACATACAAGCGGTTATTTAGAGTATATTTTAGTTAATTCCGGGAGTTTTTATGAGTAAGGGGAGTTAATTCTTGTAGTTTATGTGTTGCTTTGCTATATGGTGAAAGGATGAAATGCAATTGCAATGTGTTGGCTATGTTTGGTAAAATCGTACTTTTTCCAGAACCGTTTTTATCTTATGGTTAAGTTGGTATTGTAGATTTACACACATAAACATGTGTATACGTGTGTAAAATATGTCTATATGAATGTTACTCGTGTATGATTGTATATTACCCGGTGAAGTTCACCACGTGTAGGATAGAATAAGCCGTTTAAGCCTTTAAGGCCTTGCCCCTGAATTAGTAATCTATTTTGTGAAAGAGTATTTAATGGCCGTAACGTGACGAACAATGTGTTAGTTTTCACTTGGTTAGTATCATATTTATTAAGCACCTATTCTGCAATTAATATTTTGTTAATGAAATCGAAGTGGTGATGAATACGATTCTCGTATTGATTATTCACGTTTCCTTGAGTTGATCGTTCATGAAGGTGAGAGACAGAAAAAAAATATCAGTTAGGGAAATCGTTATCTCTGATTTTGTTCATTTATTCCGTAAATGCAGGTTAACAAATATGCTGACCCAAGAGATGCTTGTTCAGCCATTGCTGCGGAATCATACAAATCGTGGTTAGAGCACGAAAACCGCACGGATGATATAACAATCATCATTGTACACATTAAAGACTTGAATAATGTATAAAGACAACATTGGGCAGTAGCTCATGGATTACTCTGATTTTTAAATACCACATCTACTTTTCGTTTATCGTCTTGAAATATTTGCGTGGCGATGGTTATTACAATGCAGATACTGTATATACTTTGATGTGTTCTAGCGTATGTTGTTGTTGCATGTGATTCAGTTTACTTCAATTCGTGCTTTTAAAATGTTTCTTTGTGTTCCATTTGTGCTAATTTTACGACAATGATTCAACACGTTGAGCAGGAGGATGATTAACCGGATTTTATGAATGAAAATCAAACCAAATTTCTCGATACTCGATTTGAGAGTGTTATAAGAGCTCGTTTCAGCTCAATTTCTCTACATAACAAATCAAACGTATAAAGCTCGAACAGAAATTTGATAAAATATGTACAAAAGACGAAGAAGTGCCCGAACTCGGTTCATGTTTTGCTCGATTAAAGCTCGTTCGTTCGGGGTCGACTCAATTTCTTATCAAATTAAGCTCAGACACAACAACTTTGCAAGGTCGATAAAAATTCAAACAAACTCGAACAAAAATGGATTCAGCTCGAATCAATTCGTAAACATCTGAATATAAGACTTCCAAAAATTGACAGTTGAACAAATAATTGAGCACTACAGCAAGAAATCAACACACACTGACACACAGACAGTGTACCAATGAAGTGTGAAATTGGATATCACAGACTATGGGCATTGATTTAAAGCAGCTTCTGTCGGGAAGATGGCAAAAAGATATAACACCTTACACAAAAGTACTTATGTGTCAGCTTCTTCTTTACAATTTCACATTTAACCCCAAAAAAGAAAAAAGAAAAAAAAAATCAAAAATAGAATGACAGCTTCTTGTCAATCTGGTTTTGCACAATATTACACTTCTCCAATAATTCAGTTAATTTATCGGTTACATTAATACTAGCTGCTTTAGTCATGTGCACCACCTGAACTCCATCTTCATTTTCTTCCTCAGCTATTGAATGGTCATAACTTGTCAATAAGCTATCCTGTGAATTCGTCTCTCGATGCTCCATTATTACAGCATCATCATAGGCCATAGGTGGTAATGACCTCGTTTGAAATGCTTCGTGTTCCGTTTGATTGGACCCCAATTCCCGATGGAAACCGCTAATTTCAACCATTTCGTCGAGTGACAGATGGACGACATGTGGAGGCGGAAATCTACTGCTTTTCGACTCCGTATCATCTTCGGAACTTTTCTGCTGCAATAATAATGTATATACTGAAGACACTTCTCCACGGTTTAAATTCATTAGCCGCCAACTAAATAGCCTTCGGAAAATCGATGCCCACTTCGGAATTATGTAATAGGTAGTGTTGTGAAGCTCGAGCCGTGTGTTCTTTTGAAGCACGATACCTGCCTCTTTTTGGGCCAAGTCTACTCCCATCATCTTACTCGTCTCTGTTAAATATCCGATTAAGCAATTTTCAAGCCGCGATATTAGACTCTCAATATCATCACCAATGTTAAGACCTTTATGTAACCATGAAAGATCGTCCTCAAAAATGGGGAGCTTTAAATCATTTAATGCAGAAATTAACATGTCGGTTCTCGAAGGTGAGCTCCATCCTATGCTTGGTAAATACCAAGCTGCGGCTCTGTACTCGTCAGTTGACTTCTCGAGAAAGTCAATTTCCGGACAAGGCCAACCAATGGGATTTACATGGGCTGCAGCTGCCATTTGCTTCATTGATCGGTCCAAAGCTTCGTTGAAAGCCGAAATGCAGTTGTTCGGACCAACTCCGTGAGTATTTGTCTCGTCAAGAATCTCGAGGGTAGAATTTAAATGGGACAAAACCAATTCACGTGTTTTTGTCTCGGTGAGAACTATCTGCGGTGGTGATTCACTAGCCAGCCATTCTAGCGCTTCTCTTAAATGTTTATCGCTGAAAAATCCATCCATTTTTTTCGTATCCCTGTCTTTCAGAAAAACGATGTCCAACATAACTACCCTTTGTTTGTCAATGTTGTGGAGTCCCAAAAGATAAGCTATGTCGGAGGTATTAGACTCGTCCTTGCGAGAGCCACTCAAGATAAGAAGAGGCAAACGAGAACCAGAAGGTAGAGACATAACAATATCATGAAGACGTTTCTTCTGGATCTCTAGGGGAATATGGTCTGATAAAACGAAGAGAACTGCACTTGCTCCTGTTATTGATTTATTTATATCCTCAAATTGGATGCTCTTAATAACCGACAAACAACACGTTGGGTCAACACCGGATTGCGTAGAAATCCAATTTCTCCAAATTGCTAGACCAGGAGATGATACAAGCAGGTCGCCATCACCATCATTGTTGCCGGGCATAAGCTTAGAATGTAACCATGAACCCACGTTGTCTTTATGCACAGACGCCTCCTGAGAACATAAAACTAACTTCCAGCAAAGAAATTTGGCGTCTTGATTTCTTTCGATGAGTTTAGCAGCTACCACATCAGAAGGATTCAGCACTGACCATGATCTTTCTTGAATTTCATGTCTTTCACTCATGACATGGTCAATGTTGAATGTGTGGAAATCGCCTGATTGCTTTAGAGGAGGGAGGGGGGAAAGAAAAAAAAAACAATTAAAAACCTTACTAAAATATGCCACAGATATCAAAAATGCAAATTAAAAGAAATAGATATATTCCTCATAATATAACAAATCCTAAAATATTCACTTCAACAATTCACAAGATTCAGATTGCAAAAATGTAATTGACGTCCCTCAAAATGAGCATCATTGTAAATCAACTATATTGTTCACAAATGGGACTCCAATTTTCATGGAATTAAAGAAGAATTAAGCTTGCAAAACTTGAAGGATTATTGACTATAAAAAAAATCAATTAGCTGCTTAGAATCTGAATTCCTGATTGGTCTAAAGCTTATACATCCTAGCATAACAAAAGAGCCTAATCACTGCTAAAAGAACCCTATTATACAAACTACAAACCCAGAGTCTAAACAGCCATCACAACATAAGAGAGTGATAAATACATATAATGCGCTATTCAGTACATAAAGAAATAACATAACACAGCTTTGATGAGATACTCACTACTTCAAATCGCCAAATTGGTGGACCCAGAGAAAGCAAACTCAAGGCAGCATTTGCTGCCAATTGTTTGTGCTCACGCAGTTCCCTTTTCTTTGCTGTACGACGCTTCCATATCCTGAAAAATAAATAAGTAAGGACAATATCTAATAAAACAATAATCATAAACATCCACAAAACTAGAATAGTCTACAACCTCAGAATCAGCTTAAGTTTGGCTTCCACAACTTCTTTGTTATAATAACCTGTTGCCACTTCATCAGAATTATCTTCTTCCATGATACCTGTCACTTCTTCATCTTCTAAGTCTTCAGTGAACATAGGTTGTGGTATTGGAGTATGGACAACAGAATTTAGAGGCACCACATGTAATCTATTTTCCTCAGCACTTTCTGGTGTGATTGGTGCTGTTGCTTCAACATCATGCTTGATTGATCTACCAAAAGAGTTTCTAAAAACAGGTTCAAACTTCGGTTTCTGTGCAGATTCAACTCTACTTCGTTGATATTCAGAGGCACTATTGGAAAAATCCAATACCAAGGGACTAGCTGGTGTCACCTCAGCCTCATGTCCAACCATTTTTTTATCAGACATCAGTAGAGAAATGGCTGTTTTATCCATGGGACTTTGCATGTTGCCTTTTGGGGATTTTGGGGATTTTGGGGATAAGATGGTACCAAAATCATGCATTTTCTGATCATGGAACTGGGTAGTATTTACGGGCACAACAGGTTGTAAAGGTACAGGTATTGGCTCAGGATTCTTCTTTAGCTGGAATTCTTTAACTTCCTCGGCAGAATACAATTCAGTAAGTGAAGGTAGTGAGACATCACTAGCTATCACCCTTGACCTTTTCCCATTGACCAGTTTTGAACGCTTGACAGGGAAGTCTTTATCGACATTGATAAATGCATTGTCCTTCACCATATATGGTTCTTCGAAATCCTTGAGTGAGAAACCATAGTATTCCAGAAGGTCTCCTATGTCCTCTTCCTGATTTTGAACAGAGACGAGGAAAAAACAAAGATGAAACTTCTCAGACATTCAACAGGAGCAAGTGACGACAACAATATGAAAAATTTTACCTCCATCCCAAGCCACTTAGCAACATGAGTGATGGGAATCCCTTGGTTAATCTGCAGACCAGCGTGCAATGAAGCAAGGGCCTGGGTCCGTAACTGAAACAAACAGCAAAGAAATAAAACATCATTGTAAAACTCCTCATCATAACTGCAAGCAATTTTCCGATTACTGACATAACTAAGCCACAAACATAAAATAAAACAAGCCATATTCGAACTGCCATGAGATTCGTACAATCGAACTGAAATGTTGGAGAGCATGATCATTGGAGAAGAAAATCAAATGTATGACTTTATGTCCACAGACTTAGTTAATAGAGTGATTAAATTGGAACGGCAGTTATCAGCAGCTAAGCCCTACCTTAGAGAAATGAGCGTGCATTAGACATGCTTGAAGATAGCTAGCTTTGTGGGCAAGCCTAAAGAAGGCAATAAAATTCCCTGTTCTGCAGGCTCTGCAATTAAGTAGAAATATTGGTATTGTTAGAGGATAATACTCACTGACAAGAAATTATGAACCCAAACAAATAATACTTTGGGGTTAAACAAACCTTGCTACATCACGGGCAAATACCACTTCTGGAGTTTGCCTCATTTCTGCAGTCATCTTAGCCAGATCAAGTGACAGCTCTGCAGGTTCAACCTGGCATGATTTTCTTATTTCACAGACAAAATCAAAATGGGAGTTGTAGAACCAATTTCCATCTTAGATGACTTACTTTATAGCCTGGATGCTTGTCAAGCTTGAGGAGTGCATAATAGCCTCTAAATTCTCTTTCTGATGATACATGTACTCCTTTTTTTCTGTGATCGTCATAAAACTGAAACAATTCAACAGATGTTTTGTTCATCTGCTCAATATTAAGATGTGCATCAAATCCCTCAGAGAATCCCTCTCCTTTAGTATATTCACATAATTCGTGCATGGCTATTATGTGAAGCCTTATCTGCCAGGAGAATTATTAGACACATAAGTTAGTTTCTTCAATACACAAAAGTACGTCATCAACACCTTAAAAGGAGGGGACTGTCAGATGGAGGAAAATTCGGGGTTTGAGAATTTAGAGGTGGACAGACAAGAACATTTTGTAGATGTGTTTTCTGTAATAAAGACAAAGCAAGCAAAATGGAGAAAATGACACCATATAAAAGACACTATTCAAAGGCTGAAACAGTCGCAAGTATCAAAAAGGAAAGGGAAAAAAAACATTTTCTTCCCCATTAAGAAGTTTCAAGAAAAGATATTGTGGTTTTGGTAAGAGAAAAATTCCCAAATTGCTATATCGAGACTGTGTTGACGACCAACTTCTTTATGCAATTTGAGATACCACTCCTCAAACAAAACTGTGTGCCAATAGTCCAATACAAAATAAAGATTTTCTTGGTTCATAGACATGGAAATACTAATTGCGCATCAAATATCTACTCATTCGTATGACAATCCACATGAGTTTTTATGTTGAGATACAATTGCTAGCTTATGCAATATCTTGTTTCTTATAAGACATCAAGCAGACAAAAACATACCATTTGCTCCAGCATACTGATGGCCTCTAGATTGAAGATATGCTGCATCCTCAAATCCATACGGATGGCCCTCATCCTATCCCATAAGAAGTTATACAAGCCAAGGAATCTATCATCATAAGGCTCATCTAGCAAATTCAGAAGATAGTCCATTGTGTTTCGCAAGATGGGCATTGGACGAATAAGCTCTGCTTCCCTCTCTGCAGTCCTAGTGTACTAGAGAATCACAAGACAATTTCCATCAGCGTGTTTGTGTTATTAACTTAAGAATGTTCATTTACCATTATTTATTATTAGTTAGGGAAGATATCCAATATATACCTTTTTCACGGCAAGAAATTCACTGGTCAGATTTCTATCTCCATCCAGGCGTTCATATTGATCAAGATCTCCTTTTCTTTCACGTTCAGCTCTCTCGGACCCTGCGGGATGAGAATCGTCAGATTTATTAGAATTTAGTAAACCAGTGCACTTTTTTTACTAAGTTGTGCATAATACATGACTCCTCAGTCAAGAGAGAGAAGCCTTATCCAACAAATCCCAGACATTACATGTTATTATGTCTCCTTTTGCAGCACTCATGCCAAGCAAATGCATATGGTGATATGGACCAAATAAAAATTCATTACAGAGTTAACATTATACCAATTTGAAAGAGGTACCTGGACACATATCTGGACATACTCCAACTATATTACTGGGTGATGCCACGCCTTCATATTCTGACGAAAAATTGCCACCAACGGTATCCCCCATCACATCCATTGTTGGATCCTCTCTCTCTCTCTCGGGTGTAAGATGGTGTTGCATTTTGGTTGCAACAGTTTGATTTCTAACAGTAGGATGACTTTCCACGGGTTGGCTTAGTTCATCTTTAAACCGGGCCAAACGCTTTGCCTTGGCATGTAATTCCCTATACAACATATGCACAATACGATGAAGGTTCCATATGTAGCACAGTATTAATATACAAAGAACGCAATAAGATGATATTTACCGCTCAATATCTTCTGCAGGATCCAAATTCTCTTGAATTTTTTTATCAGGTGAAGATAGAAGTGGTATCTTGGTCCGTTTGACAGCTGGAAAGTGCATGGGCTTGTTGATAGAGGTTTCAACGCTGATGGTTGGTACAGATGTTGGAGACTGACTTTGATTTGGAAAACCATGAGCTCTGGAAGGAAAATTTGTCCTCAACTTATAAATAATGCAAAGACATTAGCCCCCAAAAAGTAGGGGCAGTACTACAGTTCTTAAATGAAAATAATAGTCGGACAAAAAATACAGTGATATAGCACAATGTAGCTCATTCGTGATGGTTGATTGATTACAAACGGATAACCAGACAACAATGCAACCAGAAACAGACAACCAAAGTAGCACTTCAGCAACTTGATTAAGTAGCAAAATCTAATCATAATGCAATCAGCCACACCAAGGCATAATAACATCAGTCTGACCAGAACCCACTTATTACTGCATCATAGTAGAATTCCACTTCTCTATTATTTTAATTGTGAAAGTGGGAACTTCACAAAAAGAAAAAATATGCCCTAAGTGAAACTCTCTCATAGTCTCATACCTTTTGTAACCATCAGATGCAATAGCAGGATTCTGTGTGAAACCACCACTGGGAGATGGAATTGTTGGAGATCTCGTTCGTTTTGGAAGTGAACCATCTACATGTGTGGTCTGAAATGTCCTTCCAGATTGATAGGCACCACTTGTCGAGACTGAAGGCATATCTTCTTGAACCAGTTGAGTGGTATTATTGATAGAGGATGTTGATTGATTCGCCCACGTGCGGGAGTGATAATGACTGCATTACAAACACACAGCATTATACATTGAGATTTGGTATAATTCACATGATTACGGTTGATCACAACCAACCGATTTGGACCTCACTCTAAATTTATTAATCTCATGGTGTTATATTGAGAAAATGCAAACATTAACAATTATACAAGTACAAAATTGAGCAAAAGAAGAATTTCAGAGAGACTTGGAGTAATAGATCTAAATAAGACCGACAGCTGCTTTTAATATGAGTTATCTGGCTGATATTAATCACTAATATCCCAGAAACTCATTTTCAACTTCTAGGTAAAGGCATGCAGAACCTTCACTGTAAATATGAGTTCTTATCTTCTACAACCCCAAACATTAAAAATAAAAAAATAAAAAATAAAAAAAACAATGCCCAATATTAATATAGCTGATCACATGATGAATGAGAATCTTAACTTATAACCACCGAGGAAGAAAGATATGAGGAAAGAAAAAAAACTCCAGAAACTAAAATAATGGTTGAAATTATGAAGATGCAGTCTAGAATTGGCTAGTTTGTAGCAAATATGCAAAGAGGCAGACAACGGGAACAATGTGTTGTTTATTAAGGTAAATTGAGCAGTAAAATTTTCAAACTTGAACCAGTTGCACTAAATATAGGAAACAAGGTATGTGTTATTACATTCACATGCAATTGTCTTTGACCCTGCAAACTATAAGTTAAAAATGGAGCACATTATTCCAACAATTGTTACTCACAAGACGTTCATTGTTCACTGCTCCCAATGCTTTAATCAGGGAATTCTGATAGATATACTTTGGAAGGAAGAAGAAAACAAATCGAGCATGAAATTTGAAGTGATTGGAAGAATTTCTAGCAAAAAAACAGTTTGTGGCACAAAGTGTGAGATGCACATGTAAATTAGAGGTACGTTACAGTTAACAGCCAGTGAAGTAAATAAAGGTTTCCAAATAGAATGACAGCCCAGATAGAACAGATAATTACTTTTGAGCTCCAGCAAAAGGGCGAGGGGGATCCCTACTAGGGAAGCTGCTGTCAAAAGCCAAAGGCGGTGAAGGCATCGCCTCAGGAGCATCAAGGTCCCTATAGTTGACCAAAGATCTACAAGAAATTCCAATTATTAGACAGAAATATAAAAACTCAAAACATATATTGCTGATTGCTTGCACATGTGTAAGAGGTGTAGCTATATCATAGGGTTATAATAACCATTTCAAAGAGTATTGGTATATAATTTATGGAGTATTATCTCTCACCTTTAATTATAAAGTGCAAAATGTGAATGATGTATTTGCCAGTACCAGTTTTTAAAACTGAACTTGCTAGGAATGTGATATAAAACCCAAAAAATGTTGAGTCAGAATCTTTAAGAGTGTGTGCTTCCAGCATCACTGTTTACAGTTCCATACATTATGCTATAATGTCTTATATTCCCGTGTTAAAAACTCAAAAAATCCCAGACCATGATAAAATACAGAAGCAACTCTGTATGACTGTGATCGTGCTCGGACTAAGCTCAAGTTAACACTTGTATTTACTAACTGACAACAGTTCATTCTATTTCCCTTTTAGTGTCTCCAAACTAATATGTGACATAGTTACTTGCAAATTTGACTATCAAAAGATTTAGAACTAATAAAAACTTCACGTGTTTAATCTTTCAGCACCCAGTAAACAAGCTGCTAAACTCAGACAAATAGCTCAAGCTTTCAAGAACTTAGCTAATTGATTTGTTTCCACATATTCCATTTCTCCTCTCACAATAAATTTTCCATTGCATGCCTAAATACAATGAAGCAACAAGCAGCAATGGCATTTTAAAAAGGGTAAAAATACCCAAGTAAAGGATTTCCTTTTAATTAGTATAGGCTTGTTTACTGAAAAGTGGTCAAAATACAGAATAAACAAACTCTTAACGTTTAGCCGATCTGACAGTTCAGAACGCAATCGGTCTTATATTAATGTGAAAATGACATGTCGAACTACAAACTCAATATTGAATATACTTCCAAAAATATTTATTAAACACCCTTAAACATGATACCTTTGGTGACCACCTGAACCGGAAACATTATCTTCTCGGGAAACCCCACCGGTGGTAAGAAGTGTCGGTGATCTTGTTCTTTTTGGAAATGGACCATCTGTGTGTTTGGTCTGAAACACTGGTCCAGATTGATAAGATCCTCCTGTTGTCGAGACTGAGGGAGTTCCCAGTTGGGCTGGTGGTGTGGTATTATGGCTGGATGACTTTGAATGATTACCCCCCATGGAGGACGCAAAATGGTGCCTACAAACCAATTCATTGAGAACAAGGCACAGAGCTCCAAAGAAGACTAAAAATTAAATTACACCAGTCTTCCTATTGACATGGAATAACCCATATCAGATGCTGAATAGCAAATCTAGGATAAAGTATTCGCATCCTTCTTTTCAAATATAAAATGGTATATTTTATAGAGATCGAATATTTAAAGTATAGTGTCAGAAACTCAATTAGCGCATACATGAAATAAGATGGAGTTTGTTTGAAACTATGTCCGTGTGACAGACAGTGAGAAAGCATAATAACTCCAAAAAAGCTAAAATGTGTTTTCAGTACCAAAGCTAGAATCTTGAAAATTATAAGATATGGCAACAACAGAGCATAACAAATAACAGCATAATGTGCTTTAAAGGCTGAATTAGGCAGCAAAACAAGGTACAATGTTCTGAGGAACTCACTGCTCATTGTGACGATTCTGGCCACCAGCATATAGATTTTTCTGAACAACCAGGGACGGCGATGGTGCTCGGTAAGGAACCGAGTAGCTCTTATCTAAAGGACTACCAGATGCAATGAAGAAGGAAAAATGTTAGTTGGTGCAAAGGATACACAACTGAAACCATATGATTAGAATGCCACTAAATCTCTGGCGAACATTCATAAAGGAAAAATTAATGTCAAAGCTATGTTCCAAACTTTTGGTATGATGAAATACAAACTCCAAAATCAATTATGGAACAAGTTATTTGTGTTAAATGGTTACGTTATTGCAGTAGACTAATAATCGACACCTTGGTGGCATTGATAGCATTTGGTTCACTTCCGAAGAAATATATCCATCTCCAAAATGGGACTTGTAAAAAGGTTTTACAGATATTTCCACAAATTTGGAACAAATGCACTAAAATAACCATCCAGTAGAAACATAAATATTCACTTCTCGAAGAGTCTTCTAGAGGTAAAACGTAATCTAGAAGTACACACAGAACTATCACAGTCAATATACTCTTACAAATGAATTCACATATCTATAAGTCCATTTGGAATGATATTCACCCACAATCATTATATTAGTAATATGCTTTGACTACAGGCGACAATGTGTAAACAATATATAAATTTTGCTATTTACGACCAGTATGCGCACAAAAACCGAAATGATGAAAATGAGAAGAAAAAACAAAGTTAAAAGAGAAAGAAACTATCTATGACAAACCTGGTGTTTTTTGAAATTTCATCTAGTGATTGAGAATAAGGTAAATTGGCTCTTTCAATATATCGAAGTTCTGAGGTTTTAGCAGGGGGGCCAGTTCTTGAATTACTTGAAGCATTCTGTGACAGAAGGGCTGGAGGCCTTTGATAGGTTCGGGCATCATGATCTTTAAATGGCGATGCTTTCACATCATCCCATCTCAAAGGAGGCCCGTTGCTTCTGAAAGAAAATCCATGCCATGAACAATAAATATAATCAATTCATTGTTTATAGAGATCCAATAATTAAAAATAAAGCGTGTCAGAAACTCAATTAGCTCATACATGAAACAAGATGGAGTTTATTTGTATCTGTGTCCGTGTGACAGAGAGAGTGAGAAAGCATAATAACTCCAAAAAAGCTAAAATCTGTTGTAAGTACCAGAGCTCAAATCTAGAAAATTATGAGTGTAGCAAAAACAGAACACAACAGATAACATAGAAGGGCTGAATTAGGCTGCAAAACAAGGTAAAACATACAATTGAGGCACGTACTGCTCATTTTGACGATACTGGCCACTAGCGTGTAGATTTTTCTGAACAACCAGGGAAGGCGGTGGTGCTCGGTAAGGAACTGAGTAGCTCTTATCTATAGGACTGCCAGATGCAATGAAGAATGAAAAATGTTAGTAAAATGTTGATTGGAATTCAATACAGTGGGAATTTTAAACTTCAACTAAAACTCAGTGACAATTCAACGACATATCGGAGTATTTCAGGACTTCGTATGATAAGAACTTTGATCATAAGATGTTTGTGCCTCCATAAGAAACAAAAGAAATCTTACACTAAAAATTCCAATTTTATTTTTTGAAAAATCAAAGGTAATATAACTGACAATAAGTCATAAAAACAACAAAAGAAATGCATAACACCTGGGCATAAATAAATAAGGTAAATATAACGAATATGTGCTATTAAATAACAGTAAGATTTCACGGATAATTACTCGTGTCTTCCTGGAAAAGGGCGAGAGGAAGCCAAAGGCGGTGAAGGTGTGGACCCAGAAGCATCAAGGCCACTATAATTGATTGAGGACCTAACCAAAAAATTCCGGTCAATGAATATAAATGGGAGAACACTTGTATAAACAGCTACATCGCAGGATTATAAGAATCGTGCTAGCTGTAAAACTAAAACATCTGACATATAAAATGGACTTCGTGACTTAACAGATTTAGCATCGCTAATATGTCCAACTGGTTGCCAATTTTCAATTATCACTAGTTATAAGCTGCAGAATTCCCTAACTTATCTACTTGAATAAAGTTAACGAAATTGATTAGCAGAATTGAATCCCCCAAGTCACCGTTCCATTGAGCAGTCCCATTTCAAAAAATAGATATAAATTCAATTTTCTGCCTTAAGAAAGGATAAGAACCAGTTTACACCATAATACTAATTTACAGTATTCTTAACCAAATAAATAAGACTTCTAAACCCAACCAACATAGTTAGAAGTAAAAAAGGCAGCATAAACAGTGAATCCTAAGAGTTCCACACCTCGACATAATCACAATCAATAAACGGGGGCATACGGAGGAGCATTTCGTAATTCAATATACAGATTCCCTTCGTTTTTCCCTTTAAAATCAAATGAGCAGAACAGTTATCTACTTCTATTTGCTACAGACTTCACCAAATTTAAGATTATAAAACATAAATTCAAATTATAACCCAAAATACACACACACACACACACACACACAGAGAACTCATACCTAGGTGAAATCGGACGAGGAGGAGACGGAGAAGGGAGGCGAGGAAATTGGGCAAACGGGTTCTGAGCTGCAGGCGGCGTACTTGGACCAGAGTTCTTCCCAAATCCACCAAATGACATTCTTCTTTCTGAATTTTTCAGATCTTTATTGTCCACATACGAGTACGTGAACTGTGTGAGAGAGAAACTATCGAAGAGGCGTATAATATACACCTAGGGAAGGGTTGTACGTCGTCTTCTTCAGGTCCCTTGGAGCTCAGTAATTTTGTCTTGTCAGAAGAAAAAAATTGGGGGGAAGGGTTTTTCAGATTGAAGACGACGACTGAATATGCACATTGCCAAACGGCGTCGTATTACGAAAACGCTGTTCTTTTTCTTTTATGAAGACTTTTTTGAAATTGGAATACTATTTGTGCAATAATTAATTTAGGGCTGGTAACTTGGATCCAATTTTATGGACCCTATTAGATTTGGTTCGATGCACATGGATTCGGTTTGCATTAAGTTCAATTAGACATAAATCGGATCGGACCAAGTTGACAACTTTTTACGACTACACATTTTGAATCTATTAAAAGTCCAACATAAAATGAAGGGGCTTAATCAAGCCCAATTAAATCACAAGACAAATCTATCAAAAATCAAAATTAAAAATTAAATCCAATTTCTCAAATCGTTTAATCACAACTTATCGTCACTTCTCATATTCAGCATCCACCCCCAATGTTCCCCCACACCTCGCCACCGTCGCCGCCTGCAGCGCTCATTCAACAGCGTCAACACGACAGGCCTCTCTCTCTCTCTCTAGATCTCTCTCTCAACACGCTTGATGCGGATTGATCCAAATTCGATCTACTTTGAATTCATTCATGTTATTAGCGTATATATTTTCGCTAATACATGTGTTTAATTTGGGATTCAATTCTTTTTTTTATCTAATCCACATGGATCCATAACGAATCGGGTCCAAGTTAAGTGAATCGCCACCCATAATAATCATACATGAGCTATAATTAGTTCCAAGAAATATCAAATATATTTCGATCCGTTGTAAGTAGTTATTTCATCGCATTTACACGTAAAATAATTCATGAATATATAATTCATAATAATACGTACAAAATTCGAATTTCGAATTACATCCCTCACCTACTTGCTCAATTTGTAACAAAATTCAATCCTAATATAAGAAAAATGTTGCTATGCATTTCTATTTATTGTATTTCTAAATCCAATCCTGGTCTCTGCAACAAAACTTCCATTTGAGCCGGAAATCCGTCCACATTCATTCATCTACAATGGAAGTGATGATAACATACTATTTATACCACTTAACCTTCTTGCTTCTCTGAACCAAATTGATTAAAACAAAAAATTGCAAGAAAAAATCCAATGGCATCAAATCCAATTCCAGTTGAGAAATCGGAGGAGGAATGGCGTGCGATTCTCAGCCCCGAGCAGTTTCACATTCTCCGTCAAAAGGGCACCGAGTTCGTTCTCCGATCAACCCCTTTTTTTTCCTCCAATTCCACTTTTTTTACTTTTTGAATGGTCGATTTCGATTGAATGCATTTTCGTTAGGGTTTTTGATTTGATGAAATTTGTTTACTGTTAGGCCTAAGGGAACAGGGCATTACGACAAATTCTACGACGAAGGCGTTTACAAATGCGCGGGTTGCGGTACACCTCTTTATAAATCCACAACCAAATTCGACTCCGGTTGCGGTTGGCCTGCCTTCTTCGAAGGTCTACCCGGCACTATCAACCGCTCCGTAAGTATATCGTAATCTGTATGTATATACACACACACACACACACACACACACACGAGCGCATAACAAACGGTATTTGCAATGTGTTATATGCATAATGTATGTATTTTCAGCCGGATCCTGATGGAAGAAGGACCGAGATAACGTGCGCGGCTTGTGGCGGGCATTTGGGGCATGTATTCAAAGGCGAGGGCCACCCGGTGCCGACCGACGAGCGGCACTGCGTTAACAGCGTCTCGATTAAATTCGTGCCTGCCCCGTAATCTAGTTCGGGATGTAATAAAAGCAAAAGTAGTGGGGATTGGAGAATAAATCATTCTAATGAAATGAAAGTTTATTTTGGGGGTTTATTTGCCTAAAATAATTGTTTATGGGATCAAATTGAAAGAAAAATTCGAAAAATTACAGGGATACAAAATAGTCAGTAATCACCTCCCATCTCCGATCATAAACTCTAGTGTATATGATTATTTCTTCATTCCTTGACTGCACTGCTTTAGAGCTTGAACTTCTGCTCCAGATCATGAACAAATAAAAATAAATAAATACATAAATAAATATTAATAAATAAAAGAACACCAGCAACAATTACCAAAAAAATAAAAAATAAAATACCTTTTTGACAAGATTTCCAATTCCGATTGGTGTTGACCAGACAATCCTGCAATCCGGTGGCGTGAAATCGGGTTAGGGTTTACCAATTTCATAAGAAAAACATGAATAATTTGTGATTGTGGATATATATATATATATATATATATATATATATGTGTGTGTGTGTGTGTGTGTGTACCTGCAATGATAAGTAGGCGGAAGAACACTCTCGAAGCTGCTTAACGTTCTCATCGTCCTCGTCTGCATCGCTCTGGTGCAATTCCGGCGGCGGCGGCGACGGCGGCGGAAGGTGGGTTGGGCTTGGGCTGGATGTGGGCGGTTTGTCCATGTAGAGAAAAGTGTGTACCCAACAGTTTTGAGAGTGGTTATATTTTGTGAGTCAATTGGGCTTTTAATTTTATATCTTTTTCTTTATATGAAAGTCAATTGGGCTTCATATATATATATTCATTTTTTCTTCAAAATTGAAAATTTCCGATTTTTTCGATATTTTGTCGAACCACCTATTTATTTACTAGTTTCGATTTTCGAACAATTTCGAGTGTTGTATTCAAATATTTTTTTTTGATGGAATGTCGTATTCAAATAATTCAATATAATTTCACTCTCATCTTCAACATTTTTACTATATATATTCTAAATTATGATTCAAGTTTTAGAAATTATTTTTGGGAAAAAAAAAAATCTAAATTCGAAATTTTGTCCATGTGTTGTAATTAAACAAATTGAGGCTCTTCGTTAAATTGAAAACTGGACTTCATTTGATTTTTCGGGCCTATGAGATGCTACACCTGGAGAAATACATCGAGTAATCTTACACCGTCGATCTGTGATGCAAGGTGACCTGGTGTGTTTCAACGGATAGAGCATCTACAAAATCGTTCTTTTTATCAATAATCTCCAAGGTTCATCTAAATTTATGGAGATAACAAATTGAATTTTTTTTTTAATCTTTAAATGGCCTAATTAGTAAGAAATACATAATTATTAATAAAACAATTAAATTGTACCTAACTATTTTTTTAGGTAAACTCATTAATTATTCATTTCAATAGAGTCATAAACAATAGTGATACAATTTATTTTCTAAACATTTCCAATTTACAAATTTGTTCCTAGCCAATTAATATTATAATAATAATAATATAATACTCCAATTAAAAAAACAAAATCTACATGTAGAAAATAAAATACATTTCATAATTAAATTTCTTATAATCCCCCCTAACCCAATTGTATATATAATTTCATGGGCCATTCACTAACCATAGTTACCTCTAACACAAGATCCAACCAAGACATAAATTAGAAAAATAAATAAAAATAATTAAAAATAAAAAAAAGAAAATTAATTTATTTTCTCCCAAAAATCAGAGAATATAAAGAGGGGAGAGAGGAGAGAGAGAATAATTCAATGCTTTAAAGCTGATAGAATTATAAATAAAACAGGCAAACAAAAAAAAAAAAAGAAACAAAAAGAAAAAAAGAAAAAACAAACAAATACAACTATCCATAATCTTCCTACTTACATCCCATGCTCTTTAGATTTGTTCAACGTTTGATCGCCCAATAAATCATAAACCCGAATCCGGTACGAATCGATGATGTGAAGAATTAATTGAAAAAGAAAAAAAATATCCAGTAATTTTCATTTTTGTTCGTTCTGGGATCTTCGTGTGTGAAAATTGAATCTTTTTGTTGTGTGGGCTTTTTCCCCAGCTTTGATTGCGGTGATCTGTCGATTGGGTCGAATTGTTGGTAGCTGTTGAAATTTGCATTGACTATTGAATTGTGTTGTTTCTGAATTGAAATCATGCTCTGTTTATTTGTTCGTCTGTTTTAATTTTAATTTTAATTTTTTTTCTGATTGCAGATTTTTTTAATTTTGTCGGTAAATTTTAGTGACTGAAACAGTGGTGTTTTGTTTCTGTGAGTGTTTGATTAGAATCGGTTTGGATTGAATGTTAGTGAATCTGTATCGATTGAGCTGGTTTGCAAATGTATTGATAACTGTGTTAATCTGGATTGGTTTATGTTTCTCTGATGTCGAAAGATCGATTTGGGAATCGAATTTTTAGCATCGAACTTGTGTTTGTATACATTGATTATGGAATGTATTGAATTTAGCGAAATCGAATTGATTTGCAGATTAGATATGGCATCTATGGTTGCCAAAGCTTGTAGCAGTACATCAACTCAAATGCCGACTATGACCGTCCAAGAAAAGGGAAGTCGGAACAAGAGAAAATTCAGAGCCGATCCTCCGTTAGCGGACCCTACTAAAGCCATCCCTTTACCTTCGAACGAATGCACGAGTTTCGAATTCTCGGCCGAGAAGTTCGAGAGTCATACAAATATGTGCGATATGTGCTGCATAAACCAAGACCATTCCGATTCTCTAAAACTCGACCTCGGATTGTCGTGCCCCGTAATAACATCGGAAATCGGCTCGAACCAATCCAGAGAGGAGGTCGAAGACGAGTTCCACGATGCTGATTGGAGTGACCTCACGGAATCCGAGCTGGAGGAGCTTGTTTTGAGCAATTTGGACACGATTTTCAAGAGCGCGATCAAGAAAATCGTTGCTAGTGGTTATAGCGAAGAAGTTGCTACGAAAGCAATTCTGAGGTCCGGCCTTTGGTACGGGTGTAAAGACACTGTGTCGAATATAGTGGACAATACATTAGCGTTTCTTAGAAGTGGCCTCGAAATCGATTCCTCGAGGGAGCAGCATTATTTCGAGGATTTGCAGCAGATGGAGAAGTACATATTGGCTGAGCTCGTTTGCCTTTTAAGAGAGGTGAGGCCCTTTTTCAGCACGGGTGATGCAATGTGGTGTCTCTTGATATGTGATATGAATGTATCGCATGCTTGTGCGATGGATGGTGACCCTTTGGGAGGTAGTTTCGTCCGAGATGCGAATTCGAACGCGAATCCCTCGATCTCTGCTAAACCCCATTTGAAAAGTTCCGAATCCAAACCGAATTCATCGGTTTCTTGTGCACCTAAAATAGCTAGCGGTCCTAAGTTGAAAGCGAAAGCTTCCTTTGTTCAAAATGCACCGGCTCTTGATTTAGACTGTCAAAATCACGGATCGAGTATTAACGAGAAACCCTTTACCACATCTGCTGAGGAGAAGTTTGTGGGGAGTAGAAAAGTTTCCGGAATCACGAAAAGGGAGTACATTTTACGTCAGAAATCGTTGCACTTCGAGAAGCACTACCGCACGCACGGTTCCAAAAGCACATCAAGAACCGGTAAACTGAGTGGCTTCGGCGGCCTAGTCTTGGATAAAAAACTCAAAGGCGTGGCGGAATCTACAGGTTTGAACGCCAGGAATTCACCGTTCAGGATCAACAAGTCTGCAGTGGGACCCACATTCGGCCTCGAAAACAGCTCTTCGTTGACTTTACCCTCGCCGGTCAACTCTCCCGCTTCGTTATCTGCAGCAGATACGGAGCTCTCTCTGTCTTTCCCTTCCAAAAGCATCATCGCTAATCCAATGCCAATCAGCTACAGCAGCGAGGCGGCCAATTTTACATACCTCGGTTCTTCGAACGACAAGCCTGTTTCACAGTGGGCCCCACACGACCGGAAGGAGGAGATGATAATGAAGCTGGTCCCACGAGCAAGGGAGCTGCAAAACCAGCTCCAAGAATGGACCGAGTGGGCGAACCAGAAGGTCATGCAAGCTGCAAGAAGATTAGGTAAGGACAAAGCCGAGCTGAAGACGCTCAGGCAAGAGAAGGAGGAAGTGGAGAGGCTGAAGAAGGAGAAGCAAACGTTGGAGGAGAACACGATGAAGAAACTTTCGGAGATGGAGAATGCGCTGTCCAAGGCTAGTGGACAGGTGGATCGAGCTAATTCGGCGGTTCGAAGGCTCGAGGTGGAGAATGTGTCTTTGAGAAGGGAAATGGAAGCCGCGAGGTTGCGAGCGGCAGAATCTGCCGCTAGCTATATGGAGGTTTCGAAGAGGGAGAAGAAGACTTTGATAAAGTTTCAGTCTTGGGAGAAGAATAAGACCGTTTTGCAAGAGGATCTTGCGGCTGAGAAATTGAAGTTGATCCAGATGCAGCAGAAGCTAAAGCAGTGTAAAGATATACGGGATCAAGCTGAGGTATAATGATTTAGCGAGTTTATTGTTATTTGTGCTAAAAAAATCAGCTTGTTTTAAATATTTGCACAAATAACCCCCTTACGATGCAATTTTTCAGCATACAACCCCGTAAATGGTGCTTTTGTAGGGGTTAAGTTAGTTTAGTTTGCTAAAAAAATTGAACCATAGGGGGGATTTTGCTGATATTTATAACATGGGGAGTTTTTTGACATTAGAGTAAACACAGGGTGCTAAATGCAATTACCCCATTATTTAGCTCTTAATCTATAATAGAACTTGATTATTGCATGGAATTTGATGTGCAAAGATATTGTGGTAAGAACTCAATGCTATAGTAATTACATGCTTTTATGTTTTGTCAACCTTCCGTAAATAGGTTTATCAACTATTTATCGAACCTTACGTAGCTGCAAATATCCTTTGCTAGAAAGATAAAGATTAGACAATGCAAAACCGATTCTTTCTGCAGGGCTCTTTTGAGTTAAAAAAGACTCGTTTGCGGGCAAGATTTTTTTATTTTCTTTCCTGATAATAATAACTTGACAGGCGAAACTGAATCAAGAAGTGAAGGCGAAGGAAGAGATCCTCAGACAAGCGAATTCGTATAAAAAAGAACGAGAGCAAATCGAAGCCTCCACAAAATCCAAAGAGAGCGCAATGAAATCTCGAGCCGAAGCGAATCTACAAAAGTCGAAAGAAGATATAGAGAGGCTCGAGAAGGACATCTCTCAGCTGAGGCTGAAGACCGACTCCTCGAAAATAGCCGCTCTCAGAAGGGGCGCAGTGGACATGACATACGCAAGCAAACTTGCCGACTTCAGAGATAACAATAACAACAACAGCAACAACAGCAACAATATATCTGCTTACATCTCCAAGATTGTGGCGGGGTCCACCACCGCCACGTCAGCGGACGTGAAGCGGGAGAGGGAGTGCGTGATGTGCTTGTCCGAGGAGATGTCCGTGGTATTTCTCCCGTGCGCGCACCAGGTGGTGTGCACTGTGTGCAACGAGCTGCACGAGAAGCAAGGGATGAAGGACTGCCCTTCTTGCAGGGGGGCGATACAGAGACGTGTTTGTGTGCGTTACGCTCACTCGTAAGTTTTTTTCTTTTTTTTTTTTCGGAGATGTTTTTTATTTATTTATATAATAATGTTTTCGTGTGTTGGACTGATTTTTCTTTCTTTTTTACAATAAATAGTGGGGGTTTTGATGCTCTCTGTCAAAATTTGGGACTGTTTTTATATATATAAGGTTGCATTTTTTGTAAGTGCAATGTGGAAAAAAGGAAAGGGTTGTGTGGAGTATGGGTTTGTATATGGTGGTTTTCCCATTTTTATTGAATAAATAAAATTGTGTGATTTTCATTGTTATATAATATATATGCATATTTACACGTCTACCCTTATGGCATCAATTTCGACATAATGTTGTAGATTCCGTTGAATGTTCTTTAGTTGGTACTCGTTTTGTGCAAGAATGCAGTTTTTGATGCACCACTATCTGATATTCACGATTCTTTGTTTAACATTTTATGATCATCTTGTTTTAAAATGTGGAGCTCGAATGGGGTAAAACGGGTACAAAATGGAGAATATTCCATATAGCGTAGAAGATTCCATTAAATTTGACACCGCAAGGGTGGACGTGTAAGAAGATTCATACTTGAGGTGGGTAGTTGTAATTACCCAAACATTAAGGGGGGTTTTCCGCAATTTGACATTACTCCAGGGGTGTTTGTAATTTACCCTAATGCTAATATTATCATGTTCATTTTATTTTATCAAAATATATTACAGCGGTCAAGAAATAGATTGAATTAATAAAAATGCTAAAGTCTTTTAAAGATTATAAAATTGCTTTAATAAAATGTTAAAAATAAATAAAATCGGTCAAATAATTGGAAAATAATGATCAAAATGAATTAAATGACAAAGACATGTCAAATTGGTCAAAGATTGAGTTAAATCAGTCAAAAAAAAAAATCGATTTAAAATTTAATAGGCCACAAAATATTAAATTGGTCAAGCATAGAAAAAGTTATATAAAACATTACAATAATACATATAAATTAATTTTAATAATTTTAATATTTTGTTTTATTCAATAATACATATATAGAGGATACATATTGTGGGAATAGCAAAAATTGGAAGCAAATAAAATAAATAAATAAAAGAAATTGTGTGTGAAAATAAGCTCCACTTTAATAATTGTTGAAGGAAAAAATCAACTTATTTGTGACCAAAGGCAAATATGTGCGATAGATAAGATAGGAGGAAGCTGGTGTGTTCTAAACTGGGCCACGTGGCATCAATTAGTTGGACAAACAGTATATTCCAGCACCTTGATAATGGGGCCCAACCCAAACTCCTTTTTCTTTATTTTTTATTTATTGTTTTTCGGTTTTATCTATCCTACACCCGGTGAAGGTTACATCGGGTGATTTTTTACCGTTGATCTACACATACCAATGTGGGTGTGTGTGTGTTTGTGTGTATATGAATGGTAAAGATCTACCCGGTGTATTTCACCCAGTGTAGGATCTCAAAAGCCTTGTTTTTCTCAAACTTGTTCTTAAAATTATTTTATTGGAAAATTATCACAACTCATTAAGTACGATTAAACCTTTATAAATTAATATAGTTGCAACTATAATTTTTTTTTTTATTAATTTAGTGAAATACTAAATTATCGAGTTAATGATTTGACACGTTCTCACTGAGTCGGGAATAATAGAATTATTATTCAAACAAAGTTATTAATTTATCGAGTTTCTACTGCAATAATAGGTGATATTTGTTATAAAAAAATAGGTGATATTAACATTCTTTTTTCATCTTGAAAATTTTGAAAACCTAAAATAAACATAATAGTAAATATAGAAACAAAATATAATTTTAAACCAAGTATTGTTTTGCGTGCCACTAAGAGACAACTAATGGCCATACTCCATATTGCCAATAATTCAATTCTTTATCTCGAAATGACGGTCGGTCTAGCAGTTGGAACAAATGAGTTTATTTTAATTGATTTAAGTTTGAATTTCTTTGTCAACTATCACTAGATTGAGTTTCTCACATATGGTCAGTCTAGTGTAGTTACGTCTCTCATATGGTTAGTTTGTTATTATACGAGAGTGTAAGTCTACCCAGTACACCTATATGAATTGGCCGCGAATTACTTCATTATCAATTATCAAAAAAAATAGTAATTATCAACCAAAAAAAAATAAATTTATTCATTCTTTGATACGTTGGTAAAAATAAATCAAAATGAATTAATAAAATTAAAGTCAAACTAAAAATACAAAGAAGTTAAGTTAAGTTAGCGCCATAAACAGATATTACAAGTTAAGGTCCACACATTGTGCATCACCATATAAATCTAACCCTTCTTTTTTCACTTTCCGCCATTTTTTCATTATTAGCTCTGATCTTCACCAAAAATAAAAAAATAAAAAATACACACACTAACACACGCATTTGATTGTGTGTTTTTTGTTTCAGTTTCTCCGATCAATATATAATAATTAAGGTACGTACGGATCATGATTAATTCGTATACTTAATGCTAATCATTTTTATTTTTTTTCTGATCGATCACTGTGTGATCAAATGAAGTGTTTTTGTGTGTGTATATATATATATTGCTGGATCTTGATTAATTAATTAATTATTTATTTCGTTGCATTGTGTAATTAATGACGTGTATTATATTTGAAGATGTGTTCAATGGTGAAAGATATTTTGATAAGGCCAACAGCAGCAGCAAGAAGAAGAATAGTAGTGAAGGAGAAATTTGAAGATCATCAGATTAATATTATTAGGGCGGCTCAGCCTTGTTCCGCTAGAGTGAGCCGCCGCTGGTCCACCACGGCTCGAGCCACTTTGAGCCATGGCTCTAGAACCAAGCCGATTCCACGAGCCATACTTACTACTCCTGTTTCAGACCCAACCCCTACCACTAAAAAGGTTAGTATAAATTAATTACATGAACTAATTGTGTGTGTGTGTTTTTTTTTTGTGGGTGTAATTAATTACCTAAATAAGGATATAATATAATATTTAAATAATTTTATTCTTTAGAAAGAAAAAAAATAGGGTAAATTACACCTGCAACCCTGAAGTATGCTAAAATAGCTTTAAGGCCCTTGTGGTCTTGGTAATTATAGCCACACCCCTAAAACATTTACCGAAGCCAAATTTTCATGTTTTGGGGACTGATATGCACTATATTTTTTTTCCTGCGGGGCCGTTAATGCTACTATAGATGAAAATTTGTTAATCTTATATAAAACAATAAGAATTTAAGAAACGTTACGAGAACCATGTCACTTCCTAGCTCGATGTTGTCTCCAACACTGTCTGAAACTAATAGTTTGTTAGAACCCTAATTGAATAACTTATCCAATGTTTTATTTCGTTTGGGCTTCTAACAATGTTTCAGGAGTAATTGTAATTATCAATACTATAGGAACCTTAAAGTTATTTTAACATACTTCAGGGGTGTAGATGTAATTTACCCAAAATAATATATTTTTGAATTTCAAAGTCAAACTTGAGTTTCAATCTTAACCTATCACTTATCAGCAGCAGATAAGATTAAGCAGGACAATGATAGTTGAACATTCATAGAATCTAATTCTATTCCGCTACGATTTATTCAAGAATTCAATAAATAGATATACATGCATGCATCAGCTATATATATTCATGTCCACGTGGCAGTAGTAATACACGTGTCACATCTGCATCGTTCTTCTCGCTCCTATATAAAAATCCAGACAGAGAAAAATATGTATCCTTCAGAAAATACTCAATTAGTAAATACTGTCCCAAATCTGCATTGCAAGAAGATAATATATATAACAACTGATTTCTTGTTCCTTTTAGACACCATCAACATGAAGGTATATATATATATATATATATATATATATATATATAGCATATTCATTGATTAAATTTTATTTGAATATTTGTGTGTGTAGAGGGTATCTCACTTTCGGCAAGGGAAGGAGTGAGGGAAACAAAGGCATGAAATCTTTGGTAAGTTGAAAAAAAAACCCGAATATCAGTTCTTACGAATAGTTACATCGGGTGGATTTTTACCGTTAGAACTACACACATCAATGCGGGGTGTGTGTTTTGTGTGCTTATATATATATATGAACGGTAAAATTCTACTCGGTGTATTTCATTCGATGTAGCATATAGTATAAACAGTATCCCATGTTATGTAACAAACAAAGATACAGAAACAGAAATTGCAAACTAATTTTTTTTTATTGCATTTAGTACCCCTATATTATATCGAATTGCTAAAAGTCTCCCCATGCTAATAAATATTAGCAAATGCTCCTATCATGCATTTTGATTATGCAAACAACTCCTAAATAGTGATTATCTAGGGGTTGTTTGCCAAAAAAAAGTTGCATCAAAGGGTTCGTTTTACTAATATTTATAATTCGGGGAGTTTTTAGCCATTAGACTAAATACAGGGTGCTAAATACAATAAACCCAAACAATTAGGACACGGGAAAATGGTATATAAACACTAATAAACACGCCTATTAATCTTTCATTATTCAAAATGTAAAATAAAAAAAAATTCAAACGTATCAGTTGGGAGGAAAGGGCGCGAATCTTGCTGAGATGGCGAGCATCGGGTTATCAGTGCCACCTGGACTCACCATCTCCACAGAGGCATGTCAAGAGTATCAGCAAGTAGGGAAGAAGCTTCCAGAAGGATTATGGGATGAAATAATCGAAGGTTTGAATATTGTGGAGAAGGATATGGGAGCTTTTCTCGGTGACCCATCGAAGCCTCTTCTCCTCTCAGTTAGATCTGGTGCTGCTGTAAGTTGCTTCTCCTCTCTTCTCGATTTGCCCATCACGTGTTTGTTAAAATGTCTCACTGAATATGTGTTATGTATGTAACATGTTCGATGAAATGTCTCTGTGACTATTATATATACAGATTTCGATGCCTGGAATGATGGACACGGTTCTGAATCTCGGCCTCAATGATGAGGTAGTTGCTGGTTTGGCTGCCAAAAGTGGAGAGCGTTTTGCGTACGACTCTTATAGGCGATTCTTGGACATGTTTGGGAATGTAGTAAGTTTTCTTGTCTGAATTCAACGTGTTACTTTATTACAAACCAGAGTCTACATATATAATGGTTGGGGGTTAATTATTTGAAGGTTATGGGCATCCCGCATTCACTGTTTGACGAAAAACTGGAAACGATGAAAAACGCGAAAGGAATAAACCTCGATACTGATCTAACAGCCGCTGATCTAAAAGAGCTTGTTGAAGAGTACAAGGTTGTCTACTATGAAGCTAAGGGCGAAAACTTCCCATCGGGTACATAATCATATCTTTATTGTTTAGTACATATATTTGATCATGTTTAAATTGTATCGTAAGAATTTTTTTCCCATGTTTAGATCCGAAAAAACAGCTGGAATTGTCTATCAAAGCAGTTTTCGATTCGTGGGATAGTCCGAGGGCGAACAAATATCGGAGCATTAATCAAATAACTGGTCTGAAAGGAACAGCTGTAAATATTCAGTGCATGGTATTTGGAAACATGGGAAATACCTCGGGAACAGGTGTTCTCTTTACTAGGAATCCTAGTACCGGCGAAAACAAGCTTTATGGGGAATTCTTAATTAACGCTCAGGTTCTTGATTACTCTTTTATCTTTTCTATTTATGTTTGTATTGAAGGCCGTCTTTAGCTATTTTGTTGTCTGAAACGAGTTTTAAATTGAGGCCCTTTACGGTACATGTTGTAAACTTAAATTATATTATATAAAAACTTTTATTCTATATTATAATTAATGATCAGGGAGAAGACGTTGTGGCGGGAATTAGAACACCGGAGGATTTGAATACGATGAAGAACTGTTTGCCCGAGGCTTACAAGGAGCTCGTGGAGAATTGTGAGATATTAGAGAGACACTACAAAGATATGATGGTAATAATATTTTTAGTTCCATACGCATTGAAATGATTAACACTGTATGACAATCGAATTTTGAAAATGTACAGGACATTGAATTCACTGTACAAGAAAATAGGCTATGGATGCTACAGTGTAGATCAGGGAAACGAACGGGTAAAGGAGCTGTAAGAATAGCTGTGGACATGGTGAACGAAGGTCTCGTTGATACTCGAAGTGTGGTGAAGATGGTGGAGCCTCAGCATCTTGACCAGCTTCTTCATCCGCAGGTACAAGAAGTCAAGAACTATTTAATTCCCATTTGATTATTATAATTTTCCATAAAAAATAGACGAGTTTATTGCAGCACGGAGGCCCTAGATGATGAGGTTTTAGGGGTGGTTTGCAAACAAATGCATGCCGTTTTTTTTTTTGGTGCTAATATTAATAACACGGGGTTTTTTTAACAAGTAGATTAAAAAACAGGGGTGATAAACGCAATAAACCCAAAATTATATCTGTAAGTATGGAAATAAATAGGCTGTATAATAATTTAATATATGGAATTATTATTTTTTTCTTGATAGTTTGAGGATCCATCTTCTTACAAAGACCATGTACTAGCCAAGGGATTGCCTGCTTCTCCCGGAGCGGCAGTTGGACAGGTTGTGTTCTGTGCTGAAGATGCCGAAACTTGGCATGCACAAGGAAAGACTGTTATCTTGGTATGATTATCCAATGTTCTCGTTTCTTATTTTTCACTGATTTTGGATTTTTTAAATATGTTTACTGCCTCAGATTCAAACTGTCGTTTTGGGTTGGTACACATATATTAAGAAAACTAATTAATATGCATGGATTTTAGGAAGAAAAAGCCCATAGAATGTGACTAAAATACCCTTCCCATTAATTCTATTTCGACTAACTAATTAAGAGTGACAAGGGCAAAATTGAGAAAATGATAACCAATGCATCATTGAAATTCTAAAGTGACAGACATTATGGCAGAAGAAAAGTTCTCGAAAGCAGACAGTTAATTTGAAACAGAGGGACTATATTATAATTCTTGGTTATTGTGTTTCAATGTACTATCCATCATTCTTTATTTGATGTATATCGATTTTTTTATTTTTTTAATACCTGTAAAGGTAAGAACCGAAACGAGCCCCGAAGATGTAGGTGGGATGCATGCAGCTGTCGGAATTTTGACCGCTAGAGGTGGCATGACATCTCATGCGGCGGTGGTGGCTCGCGGTTGGGGAAAATGTTGTGTCTCCGGCTGCCCCGATATACGTGTAAATGAATCCGAGAAGGTTCGTGTTAATAAATAAATATACACAATATTTAGGCTATGATTTTGGAATGAGGACAGAAAATTTTGAAAATTACTTTAAATATATACTTTTTAATTTTAATGATTGATAATGTAGGTGGTTTTGGTGGGAGATAAAGTAGTTAAAGAAGGAGATTGGATGTCGCTTAATGGATCTACGGGTGAAGTGATATTCGGAAAACAGCCGCTTGCACCTCCGGCTATGACCGGTGATTTGGAGGTTTTCATGGCTTGGGCTGATCAAATTAGGCGGCTCAAGGTACTTTTAAATTTTTATATCATTTTTTGTGTGATAAAATATCGGAAAAAAACTAAACCGCGGTCACTAATTTATGTTCGAAGCATATAATATATAATATACATGTATATGTAGGTCATGGCAAATGCCGATACACCTGAAGATGCACTTACAGCTCGAAATAACGGAGCTGAAGGGATCGGTTTGTGTAGGACAGAGCACATGGTAATTTTTTTTTTATGTAGTTTTCGAACTTTTTATAATCAGCTTTTTATATGTAACATAGTTTAATTAATTCCATATTTGTGTCAGTTCTTTGCTTCTGATGAGAGGATTAAAGCTGTAAGAAAGATGATAATGGCAGTAACAGTCGAACAAAGGAAGGCGGCTCTAGACTTGTTGTTGCCTTATCAACGAGCCGATTTCGAGGGCATCTTTCGTGCAATGGATGGTATCTTTTATTTATTTATTTATTAACAAGCGTAGACAAATACACAAGATGATATATATGTAAAACGGATTGTAAATTTATTAGGTCTTCCGGTGACAATCCGACTACTCGACCCTCCACTCCATGAATTTCTTCCGGAAGGTGACATAGAACAGATTGTCGGAGAACTAACAGTTGATACTGGCATGACTGAAGATGAAGTTTATACGAGAATCGAGAAATTATCCGAAGTTAATCCAATGCTTGGATTCCGTGGATGCAGGTATTTTACTTGATTAGTACTTTATACTCGTGGGGGACTAAATATATATAAAAAAATATCCGAAGGGGCAGTAATTGAATAATAGAGTTCTTGAGAAGTGGTGAGGGCTATGGCCCTAGTTCATGCAGTAATTGAATATTTGCAAGATTTTGACCTATTTAACCCTCATGTATATAAATATATATTTTAATTTTTTGTTTTTTGTTTTTTGCAATGATAATTTTGCTGTTTGCAGGCTGGGAATATCGTACCCAGAGCTGACGGAAATGCAGGTGCGTGCAATATTTCAGGCGGCAATCTTGTTGAGCAACCAGGGCTATACAGTCCTGCCGGAGATTATGGTTCCTCTTATCGGAACACCTCAGGCATGTCAACATCATATATTTATATATATATATATATATATATATATATATATATATATATATATATATATATGTTTATGTTTGTATTTTTATAGTTTATTCTCGTCTACTTAATAATAATTCAACTTCAAATGTTATATCAGGAATTGAGTCATCAGGTGAGTTTGATTCGCGGGGTGGCGAAGAAAGTGTTCTCGGAGATGGGAACCTCGTTGAACTACAAAGTTGGCACCATGATTGAAATTCCTAGAGCTGCTTTAGTTGCAGATGAGGTATATTAAATGTTAACAATTACTTAGTATTTCCGAATATTTCTTGATTTTTTGAGACTTAATATTCTTTTTCGAATAATTTTACACGGTTTAGATAGCAGTGGAGGCAGAATTTTTCTCGTTCGGGACAAACGATCTCACACAGATGACATTTGGATATAGCAGAGACGATGTAGGCAAATTTCTTCCTATATACTTGGCTAAGGGCATTCTCCAAAACGATCCATTCGAGGTAATTTGTTAGTCATTTTCTCATGATACTATAAAAAATTAATTGGATTTTTTATTTTTAGTTTTCGTATATTTAATGATCTATGGAAATTAGGTTCTTGACCAAAAGGGCGTTGGACAGCTCATCAAAATGGCAACGGAAAGAGGCCGTGCAGCTAGACCTAACCTCAAGGTTACATAATTTGTACCCATTTTTTTTTTTCGGAATGTTTTAAACATCTTTCGTCGACACATTCAAAAACACAAATCCATGTGTGCGTGTGTGTGTTTCTTGAATTTGTTGAATAATAAGAAAGTAAATGTGCAGGTGGGAATATGTGGAGAGCATGGTGGTGAGCCTTCTTCTGTGGCCTTCTTTGCGGAAGCTGGACTCGATTACGTCTCTTGCTCTCCTTTTAGGTATCTCGAAAATGAAAAATTATTACGAAGAGTTGAATTTTATTTCCTCGTCGGATAATGAAAACTTTTGTGGGTTTATTATTGTCTGATTATATATTTTTGCAGGGTGCCTATTGCAAGGCTGGCTGCAGCTCAAGTTGTTGTCTGAGGTGAAAAAATATTGAAACACACACTTTTCTGAATTAATCAGATGTTGTATATCTATATATATGCACATATATGTATGTATAAATAAAAGAGATTCTACACATAAGATTATCCTCTCTATTAGAAGAGGGTAAGAGTTGAATGTAAATGTCAATGCAAATTTTCAAACCACTTCAATAGTATGTTAATTACATAATTTTATCACGTCAGCTTGAATATGATGGAATTAGGGCAAATACGCCTCCCCAAATTATCTTTCTCACAATCTTAAAATAGTGAAAATTACAGTTTATATCGATTCAAGAGTGATTGAAAATATTGATTTTTTGAAACATGAGGGGTCAAATGTGTTTTTTGTGAATACGAGGGATCAAATATGAAATTAATGCAAACTCGAAGAATGAAAACTATAGTTTTTTCTTTCTTTTATTATATGATGAAACTACAGCAAAATATACCTCCCAAATTCCTTCCATCCCAATTCTCTCTCTCTCTCTCTCTCTCAAATCATTTTCTTTATTCTTTTCCAATGCCAATACTCATGCATAGCCCAAAGGTTCCTTCAACATTTCTTGTTATGAACACTGAATTTTGAAACATAAAATACTCAGAAATTGAAAGGAAACTCAATTGAAATCTCAAATTCAAAATGGAGTATTAGGGTTCTTACAACTCATAATAAAACTCGGGCTCAAAGCAAAGAAAAGTAACTATATTAACTACCATAGCTACACCACAAATTACTGATATATAACTTGCTTGTCTCCTGCCCCTCGTCGTTATATAGCAGAAATTCAATGGTAAGAAAAACTAGATAAGGAGGCACACAGCACATGTTCTTCAACTCATGCTGTCATTAAAACGACACCACTCTCCTCTCCTCAGCATAGCCAAAAGCGCGATTTAATTACTTAATATGAACGCATTTTTAAAAGTTAGAACGTCGTCGTTTACAAAGCATTAAAACAAAATTGCAGAAACTTAAAAAAAAAAAAAAAAAAAAGAAGTTAATTTCCTTTCTGGAAAAAAATCAAGATATCAATTTAAGGTTCAATATATATTGGGCTTCAAACTCGAAAGCTCTAGTGTTTTTTCGAATAGTGAAAGCTTTAGTTGTTAATGGCCAAGTGCAATGGCATTTTGTTGTTACTACTGATTCTGCTGTTTTGCATTCAATTGAATCTTGAAAAGTTGGTGTTCCAGAAGTGAAATTTTCAACCATAGACTTTTCATGCTTTGTTGGCCGTAACGTTATAATCTTCGACTTAGCATCAGCCAAAACGAACTTGGTTTTTGCGTAAATTAGTAGGGATCCGACACAGGTGTTAAAAGTTTGATTCTTCCTTACCGTAGATCTCTCTCTCTTATTCCTTACCCCAGGACCAGATCGGTCGAAAGTAACATTACGGAATGTATTATTACCTTAGCCAAGCTGAGACCAAACATCCTCATTTTTGTTGTCGTTTGGTCTCAGTTTAAAGCAGTTAATAATCATTAAAATACCAAAACACTCGTCTCCAGATATCCCGACAGCAAACGAATGTCGAGCCTCCCCTGTGCAATAATCATACAAAAAGAAAAAAAAAAGGCACTCTCCCTACGCAGGGATTATCCTGTTCAGGTTCAAAGGGACTTTCTCAGCCTAAACCTGCTCCAGTCCCGCTGGAGCAGATACAGACACCCCTGGTGCGTTTTTTCACGTCAATCAACTTTTTTCGATATATAGACAGAAACCATCCAAACGAGAGAAAAAAATTAAATTAGAAAGCATTTTTATTGCTTAATTTCTACCGATGAGGACATTTAAACATAATAATGATTCAAATGAAGATGTTCCTCTTAATAAGCTGTTCACGAATTTGAAGCTATTTTTATTTACTTACCTAGTTCTTGAAGAAGAAGATAAGGTTTTCTAAAACCTCGCACTTCTCTCGACTTGGCCAGCCATGCATCAGCTCCGAGATTCCACCGGTGCGTTTATTATGTTTCGCCTGGACGAAAATGCCTGCATAGTTGACATGAATTAACCAAGAAAGGTGCAAGTAGACATTGGAGGGCAAAATGGTCATACAAATCTATGTCTACACTACATGTTAACAAAAACTCCCCGTATTATTAATATTAACAAACACACCCCTATCATTTTTTTTAGCAAACTACCCCCTACAAACTCACCATTTAGGCTATAAAAAACGCATCACAGGGTAGATTTTGCTAATATTAATAATAACAATGGGAGTTTTTTAGCAGTTTGATATAGCACAAGGGTACTAAATGCAATAAACTCCAAAATGGTTTCTACAATTTATATGTAAAATAACTAGAAAAAATGCGTTCCCCCTTCGAATGGTTAATTGTATAATTGTTACTTCGTTTAATCGATGTTTTTCTATTCATATAATCAAGAAAAAAATGTTCCAGAACACCCCGTAGAACATAAATTTTTACTCACCTTTTAACCACTCCTCGATTTGACATACTCCTCCGGCAAGTAAATCTCACCACCCACCTCACCAAACTGCTCCCCACTAACCGTTTTCCTGGCAGCCAAAAAAGCAGCACTCATGGCATCCATCCCCTTCTTTACCGCCACCTCAGCATCATCCCCATACCCATGCTCCTCCGCGTACTTCCTCACATCCTCCGTTATCTTCATCGAGCAGAACTTGGGTCCACACATCGAGCAGAAGTGGGCCACCTTAGCTCCATCCGAGGGCAGCGTCTCGTCATGGAACGACATGGCTGTGACAGGATCAAGTGACAGCGCAAACTGGTCCATCCATCTGAACTCAAATCTAGCCTTGCTCAAAGCATCGTCCCACGCCTGAGCGTGAGGGTGACACTTTGCCAGGTCAGCGGCGTGTGCGGCTATCTTGTAAGCGATGACTCCGGCTTTTACATCGTCCCTATTGGGCAGGCCGAGGTGCTCCTTGGGGGTGACGTAGCAGAGGAGGGCGGTGCCTAGAGCACCTATGTTGGCTGCTCCGATTGCTGAGGTGATGTGGTCGTAGCCAGGGGCAATATCGGTAGTTAGTGGTCCGAGAGTGTAGAATGGTGCCTCGTTGCACCATTCGAGCTGCTTTTGCATGTTCTCCGGGATTTTGTGGAGTGGAACATGTCCAGGACCTTCGTTCATGACCTGTGGATGGATGTTATATAAAGCTTATGACAATGAACAAAATAATAATGTTTTTAAGGTAAATGTTGTGCAGTGTATTTAGTGATCCTTCCTTCCATAGGTTGTATAGTGTATTTAGTGATACCTGCACATCTTTTTCCCAAGCTCGGCGAGTCAACTCCCCCTGAGTCAACAGCTCCGCAAACTGAGCAGTATCATTCGCATCGTAAATCGATCCAGGCCTCAATCCATCACCGATCGACAACGAAATATCGTACTGGTTACAAATATCCAAAATATCATCCCAATGCTCGTAAGCAAAATTCTCCTTATGATAAGCCAAGCACCACTTTGCATGTATGGACCCACCACGAGAAACAATCCCCGTCATCCGCTTAGCTGTCAACGGAATATACCTCAGAAGAACACCTGCATGAATAGTGAAATAGTCAACCCCTTGCTCCGCTTGCTCGATCAAAGTCTCCCTAAAAACCTCCCAGTTGAGATTCTCCGCAATCCCGTTGACTTTTTCCAACGCTTGGTAGATGGGGACAGTGCCAACTGGCACGGGCGAGTTGCGGAGGATCCATTCTCGGGTCTCGTGGATGTGCCGGCCCGTGGAGAGGTCCATGATAGTGTCTGCACCCCACATGGTGGCCCATTGGAGCTTGTGGACTTCTTCTTCAATTGAGCTTACAACTGCGGAGTTTCCGATGTTGGCGTTGACTTTGACCAAGAATTTGCGTCCGACTATCATTGGCTCTAATTCTAGATGTTTCTTGTTTGAGGGGATGATCGCTCGGCCGCGTGCGACTTCGGATCGGACAAATTCTGGGTCCAGTTTTTCGCGGGCCGCGCAGTATGTCATCTCCTCGGTTATGATGCCTTGTTTAGCGTAATACATTTGAGTGCATCTTGGCGCGCCTAGTTTCTCTCTCCTGTCGATCCATTCTTTTCTCAACTTGGGAAGTCCTATTCGAAAAAAATATCAGGTATCAAATCACTCAGTCACCATTTTGATGCTCAAAGTTAAAAGAAAAAAAATTACACTCAAATGGAGCAAAAATGCAACATGGAGAAATAAACATCAAGTTTAAGTTGCAAATTTCAACTACCTACATATCGAATTAAAAATTCCGGCTTCGCCACTGAGTATAACTTAAATGGAACTTAAATGTCAAAAAGAATGTGGAGAATTTAAACTCTATTTACCAATGAGTATCAATGTTAAAGATATGAAAAATTAATTTTTTTGAGACAGGAATATTGATGAATTACTCTAACATTCACAAGCACATATTCAAAAAGAAATCACTCTTAGGACAAGAATAAAATTACCAATTGTAGGGCTGATGTTTTGCGGGCCACTGGTGTCGTAGGCGTCGAAATGTGGTTCGTCACCCGCCAAGTGGATGCGCCTAAATGGAACTCGTAGCAAATGTCCAGATTCTTCATGAACAACTTCCCTGTAAGCAATTTCACCGAATTATTGAAATATAAAAAAAAAAACTAATAACAAACAGTCGGAAACTTTTTAAACCACAAAACTCGATTTTTTTTTTATTTGCTTACGTGCATTCTTTGGAGCTTTTGGGGAAGCATTCCTCGAAGGAAGGAAGGGGGAGAAAATCGGGGGCGTTCGGATCTGCTGTGTGCTTCCTCGGCTTAACAACCTTGTCTTGATTGGTTGTTGGGGGATCGAAGGTTAGTGTAGCTTTTGGGCTCGAAAAGACGGAAATGTCCCTTCTCCTTATGCTAGAAACCTGTCCAACATCGATAGCGTTGATGAAGGAGCTGCTCAGAGATTTCAGTGAAGTGGTCGAGTTTCTGTTGTTGTTGCACACAGCTGATGCCAAACTAGTTTGCAAAGACGCCATATCTGTCGGAAAAAAGGCGTTTCAGAAACTATTACAGAACAAAATTTGCAAGCTTGTATGAATTGCAATTACAAAATTCAAAAATTATGACAGCAATGCATATAAGCAGAAGCAATTAGCTCCCAAACACTGAAAAAAAATCACAGAAATTTTATACATTTATACAAACATCCGATGAAATCCCCCGGGCTATATCCTATCCTACCATACATTCATACATAATTTACACACATCCACACGTATGCGTGTAAATGTATGTAATTCGAAGCTGAAAAAAACAATCAGGCGTATTTCACATGTTTGTGTGTGCGATTGTACGTAATCCACCATCTAAGCAAACCCTTACTTCCTGACATTCTCTCGAATCGAAACTCAAACCACATCAAACATCATAAACATAAGAAATTACTGCCGAAAAATTCAAAAAATCAAAAATTCTGTATAAAATACACGAAGAACAGAGAGCATGCAATGCATTAAAAACTGAAAACTAGAAAATTAAAAAAAAATTAAAAAAAAAAAAAAAGGAAAACGCACGAACCTGAAGCTGAGATGATGAATCTTATCTGATCAGATATTTTTTTTTTAAATTTAATTTGGGGATTCAATTTGAATGAAGCAGAATGAACGGACCCAACTGATTTTCTCTACACTTATTTGTGGGGTTTTTATATCACTGCCAAAATGACTCAGCACAAAAGAACCGGTGCTTTTTTGCTTCAATAAAATATCTCGAACACAGCGACAAATTAAAAGGCGGAATTTGCAATTTGACCCCTGTACTTATTTTTATTTTCAGTATTTGGTCCCTAAAGTTTCTTGACTTTCAATTATTTCCCCAGCTCAATTTTTTTTTTTTTAAATTTTAATTTTTTGAAATTACGATGGATGTGGGATGAGGATATACAATTGTGAAAATTGGTCACTAACATTAATTACTATTTAATTAAATAGTTTTTGAAAATAATATGGAAAGATTTCCTAATAAATGAATTGCAAAATGTGATCCACTAAATTGATATCTAGATTTTATCTCTATTTATTCCAAACAACTGCCACCACCTGTCCGCATCATAGCCCCACCATTTAATAAACAAGATTTTCCAAACAATAATATGGCAAAGACAAGATTTTTATGATCGTTTGGCTGAATTTATTTTAAACAAGTGGTAAGTTGTTTTAAGAATTTATTTTTAAAATTATTGTTTACAGTGTTTGGATAATGAACTTATAAGTTACAATTACTCATCATAAGATTTTACATCAAAAGTTGTATAAATTATATTTTTTAAATATCTTGACCAGGCTCAGATGCGCGACACCCCGGATGTACTCCTTTTTTTCTTTTTCTTCTTTTTT